AATAACTACTCCATCCTGGTGCTGTTACGTTTATTTTTGAAAGTTTAAATGTCTGTCAATATTAAAACAAATTTAAGAGAACATACAGCTTCATCCCAGTTGCTAAATTAAGTATTGCCAAATGTTTATAAACAATGAAAAATGCAAGCCTAAGAAACAACTGCCACTGATCTGCTTACAACTAAGGGAATTAAAGATAGTTTTGCTCAGTGTATGTAACTATTCTTAAATAATAATTTTTTTTCTTTTGGTATGGAAACATCACATTTCATTCCTCTGGAATGCTGGCTGTTTCTATGTGCTTTCTGTATTATCTCTATTAATAAATATGAAATATTATTACTGGAGACTTTGTAATTAATAGTTTTCTTAAGCCATATATTTTGTGGGAAAAAAAAAAGGACTGAAGAGGCTAGCAAGCCAATTAATAGGTGAATTCAAGAGACTGTCAATGTTTGAGGGAAGCTATTATTGCATTGTGCATAACAAACAGAATAAGATGATGCCAGAACAATTATTTGCATTCTCAGCTAATTTGACAGGTAAAAATGTCTCCAAGTCTTTGCTAGGTAATTTTAATCAACTAAAGTTAAAATTATACTGCAGTGGACACAATCAACATTGATCTTGGGGAGTGAGAGACATTCTAACTGGTATCATGTTATCACAAAAGCTCTGGGAACCAACCACAGGAGCTTATGTGGTCATTTTGCAGATTTATTCCAAAGAATGAAATGAGGGCTGTGCTCTGTCAACGTCTGGCAAACACGCACTTGCTTAACAAAAGCTGTTTGATGGACTCGGGTACTATCAACTTGGGGATTTGGTGTCTTGACTGCTTGCAGAGCCTCTGGGGTATCTCTATCAAGTATAAAGGTGTAACCTGAGCCATGGCCAGTGCTCTGACGAAATACCAAATCCCTATTCCTATTATCATGCTGCTGATTAGTATTTCCAAACAACATCTAGTAAAAGGACTCAAGCCTGCACAGACAAAATGCAAGTATATGTTGGTTCCCCCCCAGTTCTTGCAACCAGTTCTAAAAAGACTGCCAGTAATTTTCTCTCCTCTTTAATCAAGCCTTTCTTTAATCCATAATGCACTGGCTAGACTTCAATGCCACAGATGTGCACGTTACTGAGAAATGTCTTTTTACCAGTGCCTACATCAATCCTTTTTGGTTCATTACTCTAGACATCGGTACTGCGAAGAATAAGACCGTGTGCTCAGCTTTAAGCATTGAGTCAAAAGGGACAAGTCACAGTAAATGAAGTTAAGCGTTTGTGTGCATCTTTTACGGAAAGGCAACCCTAAACTTTTTGTGTATATGTTATACGCCGATGATTAAAATGCCTATTTTTATATTGCTTCTCAAAAGATTATCAAGTTCAAGCAACTCAGAGAATTATTCATGAAACCAAAGAGCAGGGAGCAAAGCGTGCACTTCAGTTCTGCAATACAATTAAGTGTAGTACCATTAAATATTAAAATACAGGAAAATGTTTTCACTGGTAATTAGTCATTTTAAAATCTGAGGGAAAACATTATTTTTTTTTAACATTTCTTTCTGCAGTAGAAAGAAAATAAGCTCTCCCTCTGCACTCAAGCTTAGTCATTCACTGTGACCCTTGCTAGTACAGATGAGACCGATTCATTTGTAAGATATCTAACACTGGATGGTTGCCAGAAATCCATCAATGCAAAAACGTGTGCCAGCTGAACAAAGCAAGGTCAATCTATGGAAGCTCAGGAGAAAACCAGGGTGAGAACTTGGAGCTCCTTCTATTTTCCTGACACATCAGGATTTGAGGACTAACTTGTGCTCTGCCAGAGTGATCTGACCTAAATGGAAATAAGAAAATTGAAACTGAAGACTGTAATCTCACTTCAAGACGATACATAAACTACACCTAAATTAATGACCACCCACTCTCCTAGAATTTAAGGCTGAAATCAAGTGTGCTTTTGAATTTATTTTTGAAAACCCCGTGAGTGAAAAGAAAAGCATTTTTCAGTTCTGAGGGGCCAGAAAGAAAATACCATAACACAACCACATAGTTCTAGAAGCAGTTTTACTTCCCATAGAACACTTCAGTTTAACAACACATCCAGAATGAGGACTAATTATCATGGCTGAAGGTGGCAATAGCTTGAGCACTAAGGATTGCTGACATATAATAAGCAACTAGGGTGTAATTGTACGTAGCAAGGGTTCATAGGGCTCACGCCACTAGGCACTTCAAGCTGTAAACTCTGTGATCCCGACAACCAGTGTTGGACCAGGGGATTTCCCTAGGTGTGAAGTCCAAGAGATGGAGCTGGATATGGAGATGACAGCCTTGAAGACGGACTGAAGCCCAGGGTAACTCCTTTCATAGGCCACGCAGACGTCTCTTCACCATCGACTCCACAAAAATGCCTGGTTGCTCATCGTTTGTTTGGCAAAATCATGGACATGATTATTTTACAAATACATGCATTACAGTGGAAATAGCTGACTCTGCTCCACCAAGCTCTGCTGCAAACCTGAGTCTTCCCAAATTCTGATGGATAAGGCTCCTTCTCACCTGACACATTTCTTTTCTGCTCAGGATAGCAACTCAATAAGCAGCAAGTTATCACCCAGAAGAAGCACAAAGAGCATAATTATAGCCATTGAAAGGCCATCCTCTCCTGAAACAAGCATCAGATACAACTCTAGAAACAAAGAAAAGCAAATACTTCAAAAAGGAGTGAACTGAGCTCCCAAATGGAAACACACGAGTCCCAGAACTGGACACATTCTGGAAATCAGCAACTGTTTTGGCCCCTTCCTGCTCTTTTCCTTGTGGAATTGGGATTAAGAACAGTAATCTACAGGCTCTGATAAGTCTCAGGTTGTTTCAAAGAAAAATCTCAGGACTTAAAAACCAGTATCAATTCCTCAAACATCAAAGCTGATAGTTACAAAACTGTGGCTTGGTTTTC